AGCACTCAGCGTAGTATCCGTGCAGTCAGTCAACATACATTTACCCCCGAAAAGTAATCATATTAAAACCGTTTCTTCTTTATAAATCGAATAGTAATAAGTAAATCTATCGGGTCTACCAATAGGGATGACCTGGTTTTGACAGATCATAACGGCCATGTTTGATGATGGATCTTTGACGTCTCTTGACATTTGTGTTCAGTAAGGTTTGTCATTTTATCATGTCACGTTTCACTTTAAACTAACGCTTGGAAATTGTCCAAAACTTCTTTGAAAGTGACGAAGGAAACCCTGTTACTGTGAATGGCGAGCGCTATAACTCGATGTTAACCGAATATTTCTTTCCGGAATTTGATGATATTGATGCAGACGACCTTTATTTTCAACAAGACGGTGCACCACCTCACATTACTCGAGTGAACATGGAATTTTTGCGTGGAAGTTTGGCGAGTCGTTAATTACGAGAAATGGACCGATCAGTTGGCCACCAAGTGTGATTTAACACCTTTAGACTATTTTCTTTGGGGTTACGTTAAATCTAAATTGGACAGCAATAATCCAGCTACAATTCGTGACCTAAAAACCAACATTCGACGAGCCATAGCAGACATACCGGCCGAAATGGCGCACCGCGTCAGCGAAAATTGACCGATATATTATTTAAAACATAAATGGCATAAAATTATCCATCAAATAAAACAATTGGATGCATTTTTTATCAAAAATTGTGTGTTTTATTCTATTTTTAAACCAGGACGTTCTTATTGGTAGACCCCATAAATATTATATTTATAAAACCAACATAACAAACAATATGTATACAACTCATAGAGCATTAGGCATGCTGCATTATGCATACGTGAATAAAATTCTTATCAATTCAACATGCAAAAAATTATTTTTAAGATTATGTCAATAACATTATATAATCGTAATTAATAAGGCATTATATCAAAGCGAATTGTTTATTTGTTTATTAATTGTCATACCACGACTCAACTACGAGTATTTAACCGATTATTATAAAATATTTTTTAAATTCGCCGTTTAAGGGGACAGGAAAAGGATATAGAACTATAAAAAATACACAGGATGTACATCAACAGTCTTTAATAGTCCACTGCTGGACATAGGCCACTCCTTAGAAATGAGGTTTTGGTCTACTATACCACGCTAACGAGACGGGTTGGTATAGGGTTTGTTTAAAGTTTCCTTATTTTCGAAGTGCTGTTGTCCTGCGTAGTTTACTCCTTTAGTCGGCTCTTACGACACCCACGGAATGATTAGTGGTGGTATGACTCAGTATTCTTAATCCGTCACCACACAGATGGACTAGATTCAGATCTACATTGACTCAAATGAAACCACGGACAAGAGCTACTAAACCTATGAAAAAGAAATACTAACAGAAACTATAGATATGTATCAAACATTAACAAAACCACTTGGAAACCATGTCATATGACCAATTAAAAAAAAAACAAGAGACGCTATTCTTAAAATAAAGATGCGCTCATCTCCTCACATCAACCTAACAGTAACATTATAATATTTTTAACAATCATTATTATTCCTTTACTGTAACATCCGAAATAATTCAAATGCATTATCTCATTTAATGTTTCCAAGCTGTACAAAAATATCGACGGATATAGATGTATCATTGTGTACAGGACGTTTATATGCGTCGGCGCCCAAATCCGGAAAGTGTCCACTACTAATCGTGGGCCAGCGACAATTTTTTATCGGGTGATGTCATATCTGTAGTGTTATCGAACGGTATCCTTTAGTAATCGACATTTATCTAACTGCCTAGGTTTACAACGTTCAAGGTGATTCGTAACGTGTCATACAGAAATATTACTTTCGGTGTTTTATAATAAATAGGTGAAAAACTAGTCGGGGCCAGTTTCCGAAATTGTGGAGGACGGGGAAACTGGTCCTCATCCGAAAGGAGGGGCGCCCGGCGGACTCACCGTCCGCCTACCGGCCCATAGTGTTGCTTGACGAGGTGTGCAAGCTCTTTGAAAGAGTGATTGCAAGGCGCCTCGTCAAGCATCTCGTGATGGTTGGGCCGGATCTGGCGGACAACCAGTACGGTTTCCGTCAGGGGCGCTCCACCGTGGATGCGATCATGCGCGTGAAGGCTCTGGCGGAGGAAGCAGTCTCCCGGGGTGAAGTGGTGTTGGCGGTGTCCTTGGACATCGCCAACGCGTTCAACACTATGCCCTGGAGCTGCATCAGGGAGGCGCTCGTGTATCACGAAGTGCCTCTCTACCTCCGCCGCATAGTCGGGGCATATTTGTCGGAGAGAGCCGTCGTCTACCCCAGTAGGACCGGTCTCGGTAGGCGTGAAATGTCGTGCGGTGTTCCACAGGGGTCGGTGTTAGGGCCACTCTTGTGGAACATCGGCTACGACTGGGTGCTTCGTGGTACCTTCTTGGACGGTGTCGCCGTCGTGTGCTACGCGGACGACACACTCGTGACGGCGCGCGGCAAGACGCACCACGAGGCAACCCTGAGGGCCACGGCCGGGGTTGCCCAAGTCGTTGAGCGTATCCGGCGGCTGGGTCTCGAGGTGGCTCTGCACAAGTCCGAGGCCCTGTTCTTCCACGGGCTTCGGAGGAAGCCGCCTGAGGGATCTAGCCTCACGGTAGGAGGCATTCGCATCGGCATCGAGCCCTCGATCAGGTATCTGGGGCTCGTACTCGATGGCCGATGGGACTTCGGATATCATTTCCGAGGTCTGGTCCCCAAGTTGGTTGGGGCAGCGCGTGCGTTGGCGCGGCTGCTGCCCAACATGAAGGGACCCGATGACTCCTGCAGGAGACTCTACTCGGGGGTTGTGCGGTCCATGGCCCTTTACGGGTGCCCGGTATGGGCGGGGGCCCTGAAGGCCAGCAACGTCGCGATACTGCGACGACCGCAGCGAATGCTGGCCATCAGGATCATAAGGGGGTACCGCACGATCTCCTTTGAGGCAGCGAGTCTCCTGGCCGGAACTCCACCGTGGGACCTGGAGGCGAGAGCCCTTGCGGCACTGTATCAGTGGCGCAAGGAGGCGCAGGAGTTGGGTCGATGCCCCGAGATTCGAGAAATCGATGACCGGAAATCCCAACTCCGCCAGGTCATCATAGGGGAGTGGAGGGAACGACTCGGGCAACCGAGCGCTGGGCACGCCGTCATTGCGGCGGTAAGACCCGTTATGGAGGATTGGCTCGAGAGGCGTCACGGGACCCTCTCATACCGATTGACGCAGGTGATCACTGGGAAGGGATGTTTCGGAGATCACCTGTGTCTGATCCGCAAGGAGCCAACGCCTGAGTGCCACCACTGCGATGGCCAGACCGTGGACACGGCTCTCCACACGCTGGCAGAGTGCCCGGCGTGGGTTGAGCAGAGGCGAGACCTCGTGGCGGCCATCGGAGTGGGAGTTCTCTCGCTCGATAGCCTGATTGCGGCTATCGTGCGGAGCGAGAGTGCGTGGAACTCTGCCGTCTCCTTCTGCGAGCAAGTTATGCTCGCGAAGGAGACGGCGGAGCGGGACCGGGAGAGGTTTAGAACTCTCCCGGCCCGCCAGGCCCGGGCACGGGCCAGGCAGCGCAGGCGACTCAGGCGCCGGAGGTCGCAGAACGACCTCCGTCCTCCATAAGCGCAGGCCTGGGGGTGACAGGTGAGGCCATCTGTCACCCTAGCAGAAGCAGGCCGGGGTGGCGGCGAGCGCGTTGCGAAGCGCGCTCGCTTCCAGGGAGCACAGGGAACATGGGGTTCCCACACGGGCGGGGGTCGTCTACTCGTCTGTAGATGACCCGAGGTATGTCGGGGCACCAGGGCCTTCCTTTCTAGGGTATACCTGGTTCCCCGGCAATTAGTACCCGGCGAAGGCGTGCGGTTTTAGTCGGTTCGAGTCCGACATGCCACCGACAGGTGGTATCCGAGGGGATTTCCGCACGGAAAAAAAAAAAAAAAAAAAAAAAAAAGGTGAAAAACTAGTATTTTAGATTTAATTCTAAAAAGACGGCAACGCGTTTGTGACTCCTGAGTTGCAGACTTTGAATTAGGTGACCCATCCAATCGTCTGCCCCCTCTAATATAAAAAAAGAACCTAGTATTGTCTTGACTGTAATAATTATTGGAGTATATAAAGAACACAATAATAAACACAAGTAATTGAGGTTATAAGCTAATAGGAGCCGTACATTGATCAAAAGTATTGCAAAAACGGGGCAAAGTTATTCCTTTTGAGAGACGCACAAAAAGTGGCGTTGATCAGATAGTTTACTATACAATTGTGTACTTACAAGGAAATGGACACGATCCCGCAACAGGGATTACGTAGCTTTGAATTGATAGACATTTCGACCAGGTTGCACTGAGTCGATTGTGACCATGAGCAGTGCAACCTGAAACGCGAAAGTAATAGTCAGTTATAGTTAGTTGACTATTACAAACAAGAAGAAACATCTAAAATAATTGCAGCATTATAAATATTATATTATACATATCGGGTAAATGGTGTCCGTCCATCCGTTTGGTGACGGATTAGAAGAATACGTAGTGTTACCTACACAGGACGACAGAGAAGGAAAACTTGACACAAACCCTATACCCTTTCTAAGTAGATACCTGTGTCCAGCATTGGTCTATTTAAGGCTGATGATGATGATGATTAGAGGGACTTTTCGAGAACAGTAAGTTAGAGTTGCAGGTATGCGATTCTGAACTAATCAAGCTTTTTCTTAGACTCCCCAATCAACTAACGTAGAAGTAATTTTACTATTTCTACCATTATATTTCATTCTTATCTATGCTCCTAAGTATCAAATCTGATTCCTAAAGAGCCTGGTTGATAGTAGGCCTACTGCTTATGTAAGAGGGGCTAATATTAGAGTAGGCAATGAAGGCGTTTAATAAATCTCTGCCTATCCCTTCGTAGATATAGGAGTGAGTATGTATGTATTAAGTTTATGGAATCCTAACAATTCTTTTCATTGTTTCAGTCAACAAAAGCAGAAGCACCTGCCGTTTGCAACAGCTGCAACGCAGTGATTCAAGGAAAGGTGAGATATTAATTAATATAAATAATTATTGAAAAGTTTAGGGTCAAATGCCTTACATGGCAACATTTTACAACCGAAATTTAGAATTATTATGAAGGTACGAATTAATAATACCTCTCTGTACTCTGAGATACCTTTAAGAGTGCAAAGACAACGCCATCGACGTGGTCAAATACTAGTAACAAAAAATGTAACCTTTCGCCAGTTTACCATTGACACGCAGAAGAAAATAATTATAGCTTCATAATTATTGCTTAGGTTTTGTTTAATTGTTTAAATGTAAATTTAATCTTAATCCTGCAAGTAAACGCTCCTTTATTAGATATTTAAGACAACTTTATAACGACAATTTTAATATCATAATAAGTAGCTCTCTAATATAGCTTGCTGCTCCATGGTTTATTACTGGTCTAAAAAAACTTCAAACTGGACAGATAGCTTCAGATATTATGGCATTTAAACAAACAAAAAACTGTTCAGATTTTCCATTATATTCTATACTAGCTGACCCGCGCAACTTCGTCTGCGTCTCTCAATAGTAATAAATTTTCTCCGTTTTTGAAACATTCTTCATTGGTGCTCCGCTCCTATTGGTTTTAGCGTGATGATATATAGCCTATAGCCTTTCTCGATAAATGGGCTATCTAACACTGAAAGAATTTTTCAAATCGGACCAGTAGTTCCTGAGATAAGCGCGTTCAAACAAACAAACAAACAAACTCTTCAGCTTTATAATATTAGTATAGATATATTCTACCATATTCTACCATATACACACAACGCCATCTAGTCCCAAACTAAGCAGAGCTTGTACTATGGGTACTAGACAACTGATATAAATACATATATACTTTTTTTTTGTAAATACATACATATTATACATAGAAACACCCAGACCAAATCAAACATCAAATGTTCATGCACACAAATGTTTGACTTGAGCGGGAATCGAACCCGCGACCTTTGGAATAGCAGTCCGTTACACAAACCACTAAGCCATCCAGTCGTCATTATAGTATATATTTATATTACTTTCTATTTTTTAACATATGCAAAGAGTTAGTCTTTGCAGAGTGATGCGGGCCAAGGCCAGCGGGGGTGGATCTATTCCGACGATACCCAAACAATGTTATTGACATTATATATTTAGGTGGTGCACACGGCACTTCTGTTATCGGTCGATAAGTGAACTAATGCATCGATACCAAGTGTATCTTCATTCGTGATATGATTTAACTACGTCATCATGTTATATAAAAATTACTTAGAGGTTAGTTGCTGATAACGATATCTAACTTATCGTATCTTATCTTATCGATATAGGGATTATGAGAAGCAATTATAAAATTCGCATATTAAAAATGTGTTAGAAGTGTGAAATGGGCGGGGCACGCACGACGAAGTTATGAGCAAACGCTCATGATTTATAGAAAAATGCATGCATGTTCACATGTGTTTGCGTGCGATACCCATGAATACAGATTTGGGTATATAGGTATCCCCGAGAACGTAACTACGTGAAAAAGCAATACCTATGTCGACTACCCCGTAAATTGTCTGACGAAAAGAAGTTAAGACTGTGTAGAAAGTAAGATTTTAAACGGCAAGTTTAAAAACTTTTTGATATTAAGTAGTATTGACAAAAATTTACATATCAAATTAAATGAGGAAATGATTACAATATGATCTTAAGTATATTGTTTTACATATTCCATTAAAATATTATACACTTCGTTGCAATCGCACAAATCAGATAAATCTGAATAAATGTACCCATCAGAATATCGGTATACAAAACGTGAAGAAAAGGGTAACGTTACATTATTATAAATGACATTTAGAATTCATGTTAAATACATCCTCTGTTGAATCGGCGTCTGTATAAATATGATTATGGTCTAAGTGTGCGCAAACTGGACACAGAATTCTTCGGACAGAATAAAACTGATGTCAGTTCTAATTACATGCATAGTCTTGGTTCTGTTATCTACCCACATTGGCTACGGCGTCGATTATGTTTGATAATAATGCATTTTATACAATTTTGATAGTTCCTCGTTAGATTATTTAATGTTCTAGAAGTTTGAGTGCTTTAATAACAATAATGATACTCAAACCCGCAAAACTGATAACCGGTCTTATATATCTGAAGAAATGAAGCCTAAATGTTTTTTTTTTTTTTTTATATACCTCACACATTTTACACACGGCCGTCTGATTCCAAACTAGGCAGAGCCTGTGCTATGGTGACCAGACTGCTGATAAACATACATATATATTTTTAATTACATACATAATATAGATAAATTACACCCAGACACATGATCATGCTCATCACACAATATTTGTCCTGGGTGGGAATCGAACCCACGACCTCCGGCTTAGCAGTCAGGGGCACTAACCACTCGACCAACAGGCCAAGACGGGCCTGTTGGCCGGGTCGAGTGAACGAATGTCTACGTTATTCGGCAAATCATAATAAGTGTATTGCTTGCAAAACCTTTTATTTGATAGGCAAAATTCAGTTACTAAGGCAGTTATTACGTAAAATTGGATTACTAGAAAAATCTCATAAAACAAGATTAAAAGGAATAAAGGCTGCCTCTTAGTTGGCTTTCCTTTTTTAAATTTTAAAAGCTTTACAATTATGACACCGAACAATATTTATTTATTTAGTTTAGAAATCATTATTGAATCAGCATCTTCACATTATTAATACTGTGACGAAATTATTAAGCTAAAAAGGTTTTGTTTGTTTGTCTAAACACGCAAATATCTGGAACTATTAGTCAGATGGCAGTAATTCTTTTTATATTAATAAAGTATTTATTCAGGAAGAGTATAAACTATTTATCATTGCGCTATATTAGTTAGGAAGGGAGCAGTGGTCATAAACGTAGATAAAACTGCAAAGAAAAGCTTATTATTGAGTCTATTAAAAGCAAGTTAAAAATATAAAGTTCACGGTGTGGAAGCACCGCTACAAATACTCCAGGCGCCTGGTCAAGACCGAGTTGTTAATAGACACGTTACGTAACGTCAGGTAAACAAAGAGATGATTTACAGTCGCTTTGAAACATCACTATATTTATTTTAAGCCAGGGATATAGAAAGAGACAGAAATTACACTATTACCCGGTTTAGGTCATCTGCTGTTCCACGTACAATGTATTTCAATTTATGTAATTCCAAACCCGCTAAATATATTGATTAAACATCTCACATTCAGCCATTTGATCCCAAACTACTATGGTACCAGACTGCTATAATACTAAATATAAAATAATTATAAACATGCAAAATAAACATACCTATATATAGCTGAATACGTACATATAATATATTAATTACAGTCAGGCGCAGAAAAAATGATCGTGCTCATTAAACAATTACTTGTCCCGAGTGGGAATGGAACCCACGACCTCTGGCTCGTCTACTAGACCAAAGACTAAAGTCAGTCAAATCCAAAAGCAATTTTATTAACTGTTATGTGTTTATTTGACTGACTGTGTTGTCTTCCAAGTTTTAATAGTTTTGTACCGATATTATCAATTTTATCAAACCTTCTTTCTAAAGAGAGGCCTATGTCCAGTAGTGGACTATTAAAGGCTGTTGATGATTATCAAATGAGATTGAATTATTATCCACTCAAGAAATGCCAACAAAAAACATTTTTTTTAATAACTAGCTGTACCCTGCCTCGATGTGGCACTTTGGCACTGCATTGCTAAGAAATGAGAAACAAAATTAAAGCTAAAAACCGATAAAAACCATCCCCTTGAACTAAATCGGTGCAGAACTTTATGAAGCACACAACCAACAACAACCGACTTAACATTCATATATAAGTACATAAATTTGAAATACGCGTTTCTAAGAATAGATGTACTGTGTGACCCACATTTTATTACAAATTACAAAAAAAAATCTGAATAAGAAAGGTCAAGGACATATAATAGCAGAAATATTAAGAATCAAAGTTCATTTAAAAGACATACAATTATATCGACACCAGCAAGTAGGGTCACAGTTCCTTAGATAGTGACGAGTGTAGTACGCGTGAGTCATACTTTTGTGTACCGATAACCTCTGCAATACAGATACCTTGCCAGGATACCAGGAGCTCTTAGGTATTTGGGTAAATTATTTGCACCGAAATAAAGAACATTTTTTTATAGATCGTCCTGTTAAAATTGAGCGTACTGTATCCTATCGGAGATAAGCTTTTAGGTACCAGTACTTTTAGGTACCAGTACGGTTTACTGTGAAATTTTGTGAACAAGACTTCATGGCTCCGGTAACCTCTCTCACTCGGTGAAAAGGAACGCTCAACATACAAACACACACATATCATCACACATCAAGAGCCTTTAGTCCACAAACAAACACTACACTACAAACGGTAGGCAGAGGCTTACTAGATGGGCAAATCGAGAGCAATTTGGCAGGAACAGGCAATAAGAAGGGGGACAATTATGCAAAATAAACATTGATTGTAAATAAATTGGGAAGGTCGTGTGAATGATAATCATCACCATGGGCTCTTCTTGATATTTTCCCAAATTGGAGTCAGCGCAGTGAGTTTTTCACTTCCATTCTCCTTTATAATTCGACAGATCACTGCTTACTACTTTTCTAGACATATTAACTTTCACGCAGTCCTTCCTTATATTGCAAAATGGTTCTGAAACGTCCTTGAAAATATATTGAATGATAATGATAAATATATATTTTCTCTATTTCAGATAATAACAGCTCTGAACAAGAAGTGGCACCCTGAACACTTCGTATGCAATACATGCCGCAAGCCGATAGACAGCGCCAAGTTCCACCAGCACGACGGTGGCGTCCACTGCGTACCGTGCTTCACCCAGCACCACAGCCCCAGGTGCCATGGATGCGGGGAGCCCATCACTGACGTAAGTACCAGATTGTATAATCGGTTATGTCAGTAACTTGTGGTATAAAACTACAACTAGGAATATAACCTGAGTCCCGAGGGACTTTACAAATGTACATGAAACGGACAAAAACAACATCCAGACTCAGAACGAATTGTAAACGAATTAAATAAATATTCTTATGCTGCTATCAAAAATAACCAATCAAAATGCACTTGTTGCCGCTTATCACGGCTAAGTGTCATCGAGGTTCGGAATAATGTTCTGGTGTAATGCCACAAATAAGTAAGACGTGTTCATAGCTCAAAAGAAATGTCTCCGAGTTATGTGTAAACTAAAAAGCACTGATACATGTAAGCCACGCTTTCGTAAACTAACACTATTTACATTTTCATCTATGTACATTTATCAAATCTGCAAGTTCATGAGTAATTACATTTATCTTTTTTCTTTTATAGAAAGTCAACGTCCCTCTGACAAATTGCACTTATTAAAAGCCAGAACAGAACTAAAAAAAAGTGTTTACGCAATGACACCAAAGCTCAATTACCTAAACAAATCGGGACCGTAAAATTATCAATGAATTTAAAAGCAATATCTTAAAATTACTTATTTACAAAGCATACTAGTCGCTAATAGATTTGCTGAAAGATAAATTTTGATTCAAATTAGTTATATATTTATAATTAAGTATTTGTATTGATGTTGTAATTATTAATTGTTTTACCATTTTAAATTATATTATCATATTGAGTTTGGCATTTTAATTATTTTAATATTTTTCCCGATTTAATCGTCATTTATCAACATATTACTTAATTAAGAAATCAAATCAAAGTCTATTTTTATTTAATTGAATTAGCGATAACAAGACTACCCGTATTATAACAGGAATAATGAATTACTTGTTTTGTATGCCTTTTGGCGAAACATGGCGATCTTTTTAAATATGGTTTGTAACATCTGAATTTACGTGTGTTTTACGAAATAAATGATTGATTGAACGAAAATTTGTGGATGACTCAAAGTATCGTCCCATGTGGGGATCGTACCCTCAACACTCAGCGTAGTAGGAAGCGACTTGGCGCCAATGTCGATAGTATTAGAAACTATTTCTGTCCGTGGCAGAGCTAAGTGATACCACAGCCTAACAGTAAACCTGTTTTAAGCAATTGTTTCGTGGCTTTTTACTGAGTGAGTAAGGTTAGCGGAGTTTAAACCCCCCCTAACCCACTGGTTCTGAGATCAGGGCTTACAAACATTTGTGACTCTTGAGTTGAGGCGGTCCATTATAAAGTTTCATGTTAACGTCCTTTTCAATAATATGGATTAATCATTTAAATCTCACACAACATCAACAGCCATTAACAGTCCACTGCTGGACATAGGTCTCTCCTTAGAAAGGAGGTTATGGCCTACTATACCACGCTGGTAGACCTACTATACAGAGTAGATTGACCATTCCTGACATTTCTTCTTTAAATGTAATAGTTACACGGAATACAGTACATTATACAGTATATAACAAATACATTATAAGGAGGTGAATCGGTTAAAGCATATATAGGTGTCACTGCCGTAATTTTCTCTCAGTAATACGAACAAATTGGTCGTAACCGCAAAGGAATGGTTAATACATTAAATAAAACACTGCCACTCAGGAACAAAGATAACACGTGATTCCGTTGAACAAGAAGTCAATTGATACACAGCATGAGTGGAAGTTTTAGATTCAGGAAACTGGAAAACTGCCATTAAGTCACGTATATTGGATGTGGAAACTCACTGTACACTCAAACAGCATCTAGCGACCATACACGGAATTATTTTAAATCAAGTTATTCTGCATCGCGCTATGATAGTTGTTGGACAAATATTTTTATTGGTATTTTTCCCAAGACTATTTTAACAATAGGTATGATTGGAAGATTGATCGTAATTTTAATCAGGTAATAGAAATGTCTATTAAGAATCAGAAATCATTCTTACCAATCTGTTACTTTATGGCTTGTAAGTATGATCAAATATCGAAGTCCAGTCCATAATGGAGATAGATTGCCGGCATTATTATTATTATTTATTTTGTGTTTTAATTTTTATTTTCTCAGCTTTTTAGCTGGTTCCACCGTATTTACAGGCCTAAACCAAGTAAATACAACATGTGGTGTGTACATTATGTTGGTGTGGTGTCATCTATTATTATTATTATTTATTTGTAAGGTCTACTAGCAACCGAAATTACTAGTATTCCCGTTAACCCCTCCCGCTAAGCTAAATTGCTTGTGTTAGGAGTGGGTTCACGTCGGTAGTGTACTGGTCAGAATTTGAACCCACGACCTATTGATGGCAAGTCCAACGCCTTAACCACTAGGCTACCGCCGATATATATTATTATCCATTGAACCAATTCAACTTTTGGCTAATTCAGAGTTTTAGAATTTAAAAATGACAATTTTGACTCGAGTATATTCTAGTAGGTATTGCCGGTAGCAAATGTTTTAATTATTTCGATATCTTTGGTAAATTATCGTGGGAGTAGATCACAGCAATTGAGAATGATTTCTTTTATAATATTATAATAATAAAACATATTCTAACCACATTCACACAACGCCATCTAGTCCCAAACTAAGCAGAGCTTGTACTATGGATACTAGACAACTGATAAAAATACATATATACTTTTTTTTTGTAAATACATACATATTATACATAGAAACACCCAGACCAAATCAAACATCAAATGTTCATGCACACAAATGTTTGACTTAAGCGGGCATCGAACCCGCGACCTTTGGAATGGCAGTCTGTTACACAAACCACTACGCCATCCGGTCGTCAATTATTATGTCAGTTGGGTCATAACCCAACTGACATAAACGTAATCATTTTTGGTATAGATGTCTTTTTTAAATAATAAAATGGACACCCAAAAGATTTCAAGATATTTGTTAAATCAATACCTTTCCCAATATTAGAAGAGAAATATCGCCAGATATATAAGACTTGTTGACCCGCGCAACTTCGTCTGCGCCTCTCAAACGGAATAAATTTTCCCTGTTCTGCGACATGTTTCATTTATGCTTGGCTCCTATTGTTTCTGTCGTGATGTTATATAGCTTATAACCTTCTTAGATACCCTGGATCTTAGATGGATTACCCAAAATTAAAAGAATTTTTCAAATCGAACCAGTAGTTATATCAGTATAGATATAGTAAGATATGTAAGCTATAGCAAGAAATAGTACCAAACGACACAAACCTTAGATAAGTTTAATAACATTGATCAAAAATTAACGACCTAATAAAACCCTAGACAAATCTGCCGGCCGAGAGTGACAACTAGGTTGATGACGTCACTAGTCTTGTTAATTTTTAGGAATTGTTCACACTGTAGCTGTCTGTGGTCATGTTACTCAATTCAGCTGTGATTTCCTTTCATTTTATTTCTTAAACCAAATATAGGACAAAATAGACGTATGAACTAGTGTAATCGAAATCAATTAATCGTCACATCTCTTACTTTTTTATTTCCCCATTAAATAGTACATAATCCCATTAATTGATTAATTAAACGTTATAAAATTAATTCCAATCTATTTCTTTTTCAAAATCATAGTCAAATTAAAAAAAAGAACGAATATTGACGCAGATGTGTGATGCCACAAAGAACAACATGTTAATAGCACATGGAAAATTCTGTATTTGCATAAAGGTAACTAGCGCTATGTTTAATTGGTCCTGCTGCAGAAAAAGGATAAAGAAAGGAACACGAAGAAATAGCCGCAGTCAACGGCTAGGAGGGGTCCAAGGACGGCAAAGTAATGTTCACGCGGTTCAAGAGAGGGGAGGATTTTTAGTGGGTTAAAATCCCACACTACCTTCAACAACATGATAGATTTCCTCCTCTTAGACACCATTAAAAAAAACGATTGGAAATTGAAATTCTAATATTGACACGGTTACTAAAAAATGTGGTTAGTTAACAAATTAACCAACAATTAGATGCCTGCGGTAGAAGACCTACGTTGCCAAACTTGGATGTTCACATATAGATGTATAAATTTATTTATATTTATTATTTATTTATTATTTATAAATTTATTTGGCAGCTCATACTTTTTATGTCGTAAGCATCCATTTAAAAAAGATTTTTGGCAATTTGTTTGATAGAAGATCATCATGTTTAAAGTTAGAAACACGTAATAAGAAACGCGAGAAAGACACTAGCACAAACCAGTATGGATATTTTTGATGAGTTAATGTGAAGTACACTATAGTGTGGTACTGACGTTTTAGTCTCGCCCACCGACCTCCCTATATGGGCAACCATAACATAGATTGAAGCCATAAAAATATAAAGAAATGACATTAACGGCTCAATAACACTGTATGCTCTAGTAACACGGACGATGAATCACAAACACATGGTTAAAACATGTTGTGTCAAGTTTGAATCAGTGTGTAAATATAAGCAAGATTTACCTTTATTTGTGAGAAATAATTAGAGACAGGTTCGAATTAAACTGTCAGTAAAGTTTATGTCTTAATTTGTCACTTTATGTAGGTTTTCAATATTATTAAAAAATATTTGTATTAAAATGTTCTTAAATTTTATGGACGGATTAAGAATACGGAATGTCACCACCCCTATTCATCCCGTGGGTGTCGTAAGAACCGACTAAGGGAGTAAACTATGCAGGACAACAGCACTGCAAAGAGAAGGAAAACTTGAAACAAACCCTATACCAGCGCATCTGGGCAGCGTGGTAAAGTAGGCCAAAACCTCCTTTCTAAGGAGAGGCCTATGTCCAGCAGTGGACTGTTATAGGCTGTTGATGAAATGGATGTTCTAATTAAATCAGCAAGCACCTATTATTTTTTATGTAAATAACATCTTTCATTTCGATTTCTTACAACCTGTGGAAGTCATTTAAGCTACGAGATGACCCGAAATGTCAGATATTACACATTATATTAGAATGTCTTTGAAAATTTCACCCCTAAGGGGGTAAAAT